CTCTCTGACAGTGCGGCACTCCCTCAGTACTGACCATCTGACAGTGCTGCACTCCCTCATTACTGACCATCTGACAGTGCGGCACTCCCTCAGTACTGACCATCTGACAGTGCTGCACTCCCTGATCACTGACCCTCTGACAGTGCTGCACTCCCTCAGTACTGACCCTCTGACAGTGCGGCACTCCCTCAGTAATGACCCTCTGACAGTGCGGCTTTCCCTCAGTACTGACCCTCTGACAGTGCGGCACTCCCTCAGTTCTGTCCCTCTGACAGTGCAGGCACTCCCTCTGTACTGACCCTCTGACAGTGCAGGCACTCCCTCTGTACTGACCCTCTGACAGTGCAGCACTCCCTCAGTACTGACCCTCTGTCAGTGTGGCACTCCCTCAGTACTGACCCTCTGACAACCAAAGTCTTTCAGTACTGACCCTGCAACAGTGCAGCATTCCCTGTGTATTTAGCCTCGAATAGTGCATTTCCACCCCACTACTGACACTCGGACATTGCAGCAATCCTACAGTACAAACCCACAACATTGTGGCCCTCCATTAGTACTGATCCTCTGACAGTGCGGCATTTACTCATTACTGACCCTCTGACAGTGTGGCACTCCTTCAGTACTGAACCGCTGGTGGTGCATATTCCATCAGTCGTGATCCTCAAACAGTGTGGCATTTGGCCCTCTGTCAGTGTGGCACTGTGTCAAAACTGACCCTGGAGTAGTGTAACACAGCCTTAGTACTGACCCTCTGCCAGTGCGGCACTATGTCAGTACTGACCCTCTGACAGTGCGGCACTCCCTCAGTACTGACCTTCCAACAATACAGCGCACCCTCGGTACCTACCCTCTGACTGTACGGCACTGCCTCAGTACTGTCCCGCTGACAGTGCAGCGCTCTCTCAATCCTGACCTTATAACAGTGCAGCATTCCCTTGTCTTATTCCAGGAATGGCGTGGTACTCCCACGATGCAGACCCTCTGATAGTGTGGCACTCCCTCAGTACTGACCCTCTCAGAGTGCTGCACTCCCTCAGTACTGACCCTCTGACTGTGCATCACTCCCTCAGCACTGACCCTCTGACAGTGTGGTACTCCCTCAGCACTGACCCTCTGACAGTGTGGTACTCCATCAACACTGACCCTCTGACAGTGCGACACTCCCTCATTACTGACCCTCTGACAGTGCGGCGTTCCCTCAGTACTGACCTTCTCACAGTGCGACACTCCCTCAGTACTGACCCTCTGACAGTGGGCACTCCCTCAGTACTGACCCTCTGATAGTACAGCACTCCCTCAGTACTGACCCTCTGACAGTGCAGGCACTCCCTCAGTACCTACCCTCTGACAGTGCGGCGCTCCCTCAGTACTGACCCTCTGACAGTGTGTCACTCCCTGAGTTCTGACCCTCTGACAGTGCTGCACTCCCTCAGGACTGACCCTCTGACAGTGCAGGCACTCCCTTTTTACTAAGTCTCTGACAGTGCAGCGCTCTGAAGCTTCTGAAGCTATCACTGACCCCCCTCTATTTATTTCAGAGCCCCCTTCCCCTCCCCCATTTCTGAAGAAGGGTCCCGACCCGAAACGTCAACTTTCCCGCTCCTCTGATGCTGCCTGGCCTGCTGTGTTCATCCAGCTCTACAGTGTGTTATCTCAGCCTCTCACTCTGTCGGTCAGTACTGATCGTCTCACACTGCCGGACTCTGCGGGGGCATCTTCCGTGGAGTTTTGTTTGCGAAGTTGACCCCGTTGGGCTCGAACTTTTGCTCACAACTTACGATTTGCGAGTTTGCTTGTGTTTATCCCGCACTCTTGTGAGAGGCTTGTGAGACAGGATTTCAATCCCTCAGCTCGTCACGAAGACTTCGTCGAGCGGCAAAGATATTTCACTCGGTCCGCGTGTGAGTGACTACTCCCAGCACCAGCTCATTCATTCCCCACCACCCCTTCCAGGAATGTCCGTCCTTACCAGCATGGGCTCCAGCTGCAGCGAGGAGAGACAACGCAGTCAAATGCAGAATCATCGTGCCTCTCTTCGAACTCTCCATTCTCCAAACTGTGACCGGCAGTACCAGGGGCGACACTGGGAACTTCCACCAGGAGAGACACTTGGAGCCGCACTAGCAGGTACAGGAATACCTGGAATTTCCCAGAGCGAAGTACACCAGGACTTACAAACAGGGAACTACACTATGAGAGCTACACTGGAAATTAACACTAGAAATCACACGGCAAACCAAAACCGGGTACTAAGCAAGATATACAATTTGGAACAGCAGCACCAGGGACTACACAGGGAACTACGCCAGGAGACACACTGGAAACTACATCTGCAACTACACCAGGATCGACACCGGGAGTCCTACAGTGATGACCCGTGCACCTGAATACCTGCTGCCTGGTCGTGAGCAGCAGCCCGAGGGAAACCCTTCCAGGGCGTCAGTGTGTCTGAAGTAACCAGCCTCAAGGCACTCACTTCCTCCAAGTGCGACCAGGTCTCCGAGTAGAGACTTCACCAGCACAGGAAACAGGGAGGGGAGGCTACTCATCCTGACCTAAAGCCCATCAAAACATCAGTTCTCTGTGACTTCCCCATTGGCGGGTGACATCAGTCCGCGGAGAGATGTATGCAACATTAACATCTGGCCGGAGAAGGGAGAACGGAGTCAGTGACAGTAGCTTCCTGTGATATCTTGCCAATAGAATACCGAAAAAGGATTGCTACATGCCCAAGGAACGACAACAACGGGTCCTCGTTCACTCATCAAAGCCTCAGTGGTTTTACTGGAGTGCTCTTTCGTGGCTCTCCCCATCACCGACTCTGGCACTGTTCGCCTGAAAGAATTCATTCCGAAAATAAAGTGTTTTCTGTTTAAATTCTAAAAATAAAGCAAACAACTGCGGATACTGAAGACCTGTAACAAAAACGGAAATTACAAGGGAAACTCAGCAGTGCCCAAGCGAAGCTCAGAACAATTCGGGAAGAAGTAAGGTCTCGTTTTCTGCTCGGAGCCTTCGGGACTCAACATCGAGTTCAATAATTTTAGGGTGCGAACACCACCTTCTATGTCCTTTAGCTACTAGCACGCTGTCATATCATGCACAGCCAATGAACTTTCACTCATTTCTAGTCCCCATGATCATTTCTTTCTTTATTCCGGGCTTACTATAAATCATCCCTTTGTCTGCCAAACTTTCTTTCTCTCTCTCTCTGGACTCTGTCTTCACCTATTCTCCTGCACCACATAATCAGCATTAATCCTACCTTTTCCTAGCTACTATCAGTTCTGAAGAAGGGTAACTGGATTCCAAACTTTACTTTTTCTCCATAGATCCTGCCAGGCCTGCTGAGTTTCCCTAGCAATTTCTGTCTTGTTTTCAGATTTCAAGCATCCGTAATTCTTTGGGGTTTTTTTGATGAAAGTAATGTGTGCATTTTTGCATAACTTTATGGTATAAATTATAGTTTTAAAAAGTCAAGATATTTATTTTGAAGATTGTAATTTTTGCCATTAATATATAGATTCATTTCATGTGTTTTGTTTATAATGTATTCTAACAGAGATATCTGGCAATTTGTCAAGTATTTGTTTTGTAAATGTGGTACCCAATTGTGTTTACTTTAGGCGCAAGATTATTCAGGTATGAAAGCTTAGTGATCCCTCAACTGTACTAAGTGTGAATCGCACTCTGTCTGTCACTCCTGGGAGCCCGTTCCAATATTAATGTTCAGTTGCACAACTTCCTGTAGTTGTTACATCCTTATCGCCACTCCTCACTCAGTTACTCCTGCACCCCTCATTCCTCAATTTCTCAGACCTGAACCCCTCGCTCCTGTTCTCCCCATTCCTGCACCCTTGACTCCATACCCTTCAATGCTGTACCCCTCCACTCCACACCCCTCACAGCTGCACCTTCAACTCCATATCACCCGCTGCTTCACCCCTCACAGCTGCACCCTCAACTCCATAACCCCCGCTGCTTCACCCCTTGCTGTCACACCTCCTCCTTCACATTCTTCAGTCTTACATCTGTCAATCCTGTACCATTCACTACCATATCCCTCATTACTGACCCATCACTGCTGCACCCCTGTCTCCTGCACCCCTCACATTTAGACAGGTACATGGATAGGATGGGTATGGAGGGATATGGACCAAATGCAGGCAAAAGAGTCTACTTTAATTGTGAAAACTGGGCAGCATGGACAAGTTGGGCCATGTTTCCAAGCTGTGGATCTCCACAACTCTATGATGCTCACCACTTCATCCCTCATTCCTTTACCACTCAATGCTTCACTCCTCATACCTGAATCTCTCACTTCTGTACCTCTCATTCTTTCATCTCATTCCACCCGAGTCCTCCATCCTCACTTCTGCAGCTCTACCCTCCCCCACTCCCCGCACTATTCCACCTTCACTGCACCCTTCATTACCTCCACCTTTCATTTCTGCACCCCTCCCTTTGGACCCATCACTGCCGTAGCCCTCACTTCTGAACCCTTCACTTCCCCATCTTTCATTCATAGAATCCCAACAGTGTGGAAACAGGTCATTCATCCCATGGAGTCCACACTGACACTCTGAAAAGCATCTCACCCAAATCCCCTTCCCCCACCTAATTCCTATAACCTTGCATTTCCCATTGCTAATCCACTTTAGCTACACATCTCTGGGCACTATGAGCAATTTAGTATGGCCAATCCACCTAAACTGTACAGCTTTGGACTGTTGGAGGAAACCAGAGCACCCAGAGGAAACCCATGCAAACACAAGGAGAATGTGTAAATTCCACAGGGATAGTTGCCAGAGGGTGGAATCGAACCTGCTACCCACTGTGCCCCTGTGTTTCCCTCAAGCAGTCATTATATCCTCAATCCTTGATCCCTCACTCTTGCAATACTCACTTCTCAAACACTCACCACTCAATGCTGTATACCTCACCTCCACTCCTGCTTCCTCCAACTCTCACACTTCGTCCCTCACTCCTCCACCCTTCATTCAGAAAACCAGGATTCCTGCACCTTTCACTCCATTGCACCTCACTCCTGAATATCTCATTCCCATACTCAGTGTGGCTTTGGATGCTCACAGATTGTCAAGTGGGAACTTGGTAAGTAAAAGAGTCGGATGGGGAGAAGAAACGAATACTCATTCTCTTTTCTTTCTTTGCTTTTCCTACTATTTTGCAGCCTCCAACAATTGTCTGTTACTTTGGTACAGGGGAAAGAATTGATTGGTGGGTAACTGAATTTATCATGCTTATTCTAATTGAATTTAATTATTTTTAAAAAGTTTACAGTATGGCAGGCCAACTCAGCCAAAGGGAATGGACATCCTGCAATATGTGGGAAGTCATGGGTGTACCATATGTCCCAGACAAATGTGTCCACAGAAATGTAACCAGCTGCATAACCTTGATGTCTGAGCTTTGCAACTCCAGTGGTGGCTAGACTCACTGCCATGCGTCTTGAAGCAGTGAGCCATTTGCATAACATGGATATGGAGGTGGTCACACCACATGTTGGTGAAGTGTGGTCAAGTGGGAATCACCCTCACGAGTATCCAAAATGGAAAACTGATTAGCAGGCAGTGTTTAAGTTCCCTGAGTTGACCTTGTTTGCTAATTGCTTTTGGATACTGGTGAAGGCATTTGTCCCTCAGGAGAGTGCAACTATAGCCATGTCTATGGCACCACTTGTCACTCTGCTGTCTGCGAGAGGCTGAAAAAGTGGCCAAGAGTGATGGTGATAAAGACTTCCATACTCAGGGGATCAAGCAGGCATTTCTGAAGCAGTAAATGTGACTCCAGGATGGTTCCCACCGCCCCCACCCCCCAACCCAGTTTCCAGGCTCAAGAATGTCCCAGAACAGCTGCTGGGCATCCTTCTGGTAGATGGCAAACATCTAGAGGTTATGCTCTACATTGGTACCAATGAGATAGGTAGGAACAGAAATGAGGTCCTGAAAGAAGATTTTAGAAAGTTAGGAAGGAATTTTTTTAATAAAAAGAGGACATCAGGAGCAGTAATCTCACAATTACTTCCATTGTCACAAGCATAGGATTAGAAAGATGGATTAATTGAACACTTGGCTAGAGAATTAATGTAGGAGGGACAGAACAAGACAGCTCTGATGAACAGTCATCTAGACTCAAAATGTAAGCTTAAATTCTCTCCATGGATGCTGCTGAAGCAGCTGTGATTTCCAGGAATTTTTGTTTTCAGTACAGATTCCAGCATCTGCAGTAATTTGCTCCTACACTAGACATTAGGTATGTTCTAGGGCAGGAGGGGTATGTGCAAACTGGATGAGTTGGGACAGGACTGGGACTGTTTGTCTTGAAAGGAGATTTGCTACTGCTGAAAATGTTTTAATCTCACTCAAGGAACCTGAGGAATAACTCAAATTGAAAGGAGGCAATTAGTAACAGGATATAGACAAGTGGCAAGTGAATTTAAAGGGAGGTGATTTACAATCCAGCATCAACTAAGCTCAGAATGCAAAATAATGTAAAAAGGTTAATGGCACTCTACATCAATGCACACTGCATTCACAATCAGAGAAATGATTTAAATGCACATCTAGAGGTAAGTGAGTATGATCTAGTGTTATTGTGGAAATGTGGCTGCATAGTGACTGAGAATGGGAACTGAATATTTGAGAACATTCAGCAAAGAGCAATACAGCACAAAAACAGACTCTTTGGTCCAATCAGTCCACACTGAGCATAATCCCAAAATTAAACTATTCCCACCTGCCTCTGCTTGACTCATATCCTTCCAAACATTTCTTATTCATGTCGTAACCTAAAATCTTTTAAACATTGTAACTGTACCTACATTCACCATTTCCTCTGTAAGTTCATTCCACACATAGACCACTCTGAATAAGAAAATTGCCCCCATGTCTTTTTTAAATCTATCTCCTCTCACCTTAAAAATATGCCCCCTGTTCTTGAAAGCCTCACTCTAAGGAAAAGACACCTGTCATTCACCTTACCTACACCTCTCATGGTTTTATAAACCTCTATAAGGTCACTCCTCAAACTCTTACACTCCAGTACCAGCCTATCCAGCCTCTCCTTATAACTCAAACCTTCCACCCCCAGCAACATCCTGGTAAATCTCTTTTGAACCCTCTCCAGGTTAATGATAACCTTCCTTTTACAGTTCAACAATCAATAGACTACAACTGAAATCCCTCATTCCTGCAACCATTCGTATGAATTTCATCTGTACTTTTTGGCAACTGTTCATGCCCTTCCTAATGAATAAGTTTCATTTTTATTCATTCACAGAATATGGTCTTTACTGGCTGGGCTAGCATTCGTTGCCCATCCCTAGCTGGCCTTGAGTAGCTGGTAGTGAGCTGTCTTCTTGAACTGCTGCAGTCCATGTGCTGTAGTGTCTTGAATTAAAGGCAGTTCTTTGAACATTTTAGGTAAGTTTAGCAAAGCTTTGTATCTATTATAATTTATTCCTCTACCCGTAAAGCTCAGGATCAGAAATATTTAATTAACTGTTTTGTCAGCCTGCTTTGTCATGTTTGTATACAAATACCCTCAAGTTTCCCTGTTCTTGCATAGACTTTTAACTCAACAATTTCACTGTATTGGCTGTTTTTATTTATTGCAAAATAATCCATCCATTCATCCAGATTTTACAAGGAGTTGTAAGCCTCTCTCTCTCTGTTCACTGCAGGCAGTACACTGTTATCATTCCTCTCTCTGTCCATCTTCTGATACTGTCCATTCAGGCCCTTCTTGACCTGGCCTGTTATTTTCTGAAGCATCTGAAGCTTGAACAACCATTGTTGCCAACATCAAACTCTCTC